GCTTGAGCCAGGAGTCTGAGGTTGCTGTGAGCTAGGCTGACGCCACGGCACTCTAGCCCGGGCAACACAGTGAGATTCTGTCTCAAAAAAAGACATTCACAGAGTTTTTATGAGACTCAAACGAAAAGAAGTATATAAAAGTACTTTGAAAATAGCAAAGTATCATTTAACAAGTTAGCTATTTTACTTCTACCAGTTATTGGATTTATTTAATGTCACTAACCCTCATTAAAAATAAAACTGCCCCATGAGTCAATTAGAGATCTATTACAGCTAAATCTTACAAAGCCAGAATTTTTCTCCAGATTATACTACCCAAGCCTATTATAATTATCCTTCTTTCGAAGAACTGATTTTTCTCTCTTACTATTTAAGTCTCCCATTCTTTTTACAAACAACCTTTCATATCTTGCTAAAAAAAAAAATCTTTGGTAATTGCATGTAAACTTTGGCTTCAGATACTAGAAGACACTTACAAAGCCTAAACTGCACATCATCCTACTCATTATTCCTCTGCTTCGATGCACTAACATCTTGTCATTCCCAGCTACCAGAAAATCAGAACTAAAAGCTATACTCTAACATACTGCATTAATTTGCCTTGAAGAAACCAAGACTTTTTTTTAATTAAAAAAAATTTAGATGATTGGAAAAAAGAAAAAACCTGAATTGAAGACTTTAATTACACAAACCACCATAACAAATAAATGTGTATACATATTTGAATGATATGTACAATAACGATATAAAATTATAGAAATAAAACCAGTAAATATATCTACTCACTATAAAATTCCCTTGATTATCATAAATGTGTATTTCCCCATTTGCCATTCCAAAAAGTAAGATTTTACTATCTGCGGACCATGCTACATGGCATAGCTGTATACCCTTCAGGTCTTTTCCCCAAATACGATTCCCTAAAATGAAACATAAACATAATTATTAGAAGTTCAAAGTCATGAACTGCTTTCGAAATCTTTGTTTCCCTGTAGAGCTCTCACATTGTTCATGGTATTCATGCATTCATTCAACTTATTTGATCAATAAATATTTATTGAGCACCTGTATGTACCAAATCCTGAAGAGTCACTTGAAGTAGCAGCTGTTTCAAACTTTGTCCCCTTTCTTCTAACTCTGACACAGGATCTCACTCTCAGTTAGCAGATGAGCCCACCTTCGACTTTGGAAAGAAAATAAAAGCTCCCAAAAAAGAAATTCCTCATTCCCGCCTTCTAACACTCAGAACATAACTACACCACACTTACACCTTCTGCTTTGCCCCCTAACGAGACCCCTATCCAAAGTTAATACTTCCACCTGGTCTCTGATCTAATCCCTTCAGAGCTTTGCAAAGATCTCCCTCTATTAACCATTCTCATTTTCTTTCTCATTCTCATTAAACTCCTCTCCAAAGCCTTTCTTATAAGCATTTAAACGCGCACACAGATCTATTCATGGCCTTGAATAAAAACAAACAAAGCACAATAAAACAAAAACCACTTCCCTTTATCCTAAATTTCCCATCTAGCTACAACCCTACTTCTACCAATTCTTTGCCAACCAGACTTCAAGAAAGAATCTCCACTTCCTGCAGTCTCCACTTCCTTGATTCCTACTCAACCCTTACCCCATCCCAATCTGGCTTCCACCCCGTCAACTCCATTGAAACTGCCTTCATGGGGGTCACTAAGGCCTGTTGCCAAAGCCAATTGACACTTCTCTTTCGTCTTCTTCTCTTTTTTTTTGATCATCCCTCCTTCTTGAGATTCTCTTGGCTTCCATGAGCCCACGTACTCCTTCATCTCCCAGACTTCTACTTTTCAGTATCCTTTGTGAAATCTCTTCTTCTGCTCATTCCTTAAATGTTGCTGATTCTTAACTCCACAGATGGCCCTTAGGTTTCTTCATCTATTCCAATGGTTTAAATTACCATGCATATGCTGGTGGTTCCCAAAATTTTGCATTCAGTACATATATTTCTGAGGTACAAACATATATCAAACTATGGTCTGGATATATTTACTTAGATGGCCTATAGCATGACAAAATCAACATGTCCAAAGCAGAAATATTCCCTCAAAACCAGTCTTTCTCCACACTCCCTATTTCAATGAAAGGCATCACCATCCGTCCAGTTGCCAAAGCTAAAAATCTGGATATCGCCCTAGGCACTTCCATCCCCTCATCTCCAATCCAATCAATAATGAGGTCCTATCCATTCTAGAATCCACTCACTTTCATTCCTTTGTCAATACCCTGATGCAGGTTTCCATCCACTATCATCTCTTACCTGAATTGCCACAGCAATTTCCTAACTAATATACCTGCCCATTATCTTCTTTTCCTTTCGTCATTCTTCATACTGCAGTCACAGAGCAGTTTCTAAATAACAAATCTTACCACGCTGCTCACATTCTTAAAATCCTTCACTGGCTTCCCAATGCTCTTAGAGTTAAGTCCAGACTTCTTAACGTAATTTATGATCTGCATGATCTGGCCTCTGTTTCTCTCTCTAGTTTTATTACATACTGCCTTTCACCTTCAGTATTATACTCTACTGACTGATAATCAACTTTTTTCAATGGCCCAAACATGACTATCTAAGTTCAACTCATCTGGACTTCCTTGAATGCTATTTCTTAGGCCTGAGACATTCTATACATCAACCTACCTCGTGGCTAATGTCTCAGCATAGACATCACTTCCTCCAGGAAGCCATCCCTGAACCCTCCAAGTCTGCAGTAGATGGTACTTCTATATATTCCTGTATTTTCCCTGTCTTAGCACTTATCACAGGGTATTGTAATTGCCTGGTTATTATCTCTCTCTCCTGATCTAGGTCTGGAATGTCTTTCACTGTTTTACCCTTAGTTCCTAAAATTATAGCTGTTGCTTTACAGGCACTCAGAAACATTTGTTGACTACATGAAGTTACATACATACACACAAATGAAAATAATTTTAAAATA